GATGTCAGCTACCGAGAAATTCTCGGCTTTTCCCACATGAAATGGATAATTTTTTAAATAAATCGATGGGTTTTGCGAATTATTGAAAATGTTGAATTCAATTTTCTCCATTCTATCACTTCACCACTGGATTCATCAAAATCAATTAATTCGAAATTCCAGTTTACACCAGTTGATCTAATACGTCCAGTAAAAATACTCTCCTAACACTTCTATCTCATCGCCCGTGGGAAGAATAAGGTAAAATCTATGTACAAAATAATTTTCTCCCTCTGAAATGGTTCATTCAGGGCAGAGGCTTCTGGAGGAAGGATCTCCTGAGCGTTCAAGTCAAGCAGGAGATACCCAGTACCTGGTGTGGGTGTCCTTCGCAGAGATCTACAACGAAGTGATATAGGACGTTATACGAAAAAAATATATTCGTCGAAACTTTTGCACCTGATAGTAAACAATTATGTTTGTTTGAGAGGGTAATTCAACCACAGATGGTGGGATTTTTCGACGGGCAAAACTGCATTGCCATGACATAGGGCACAATAAATTCAGGAAAATCCCGCACCGTCCAGGGTTCGATTTCGTGTCCAGGAATAATACCTAGAACTTCGGAGTACGTTTTTTCCAAGATAAATCCAAAGACCTCTCGTTGCTACAAGCCAGTGCATAACATGACGTAATAAGCATCACAGCATCTGAGCGTTTAACCGAGATCGAAACGAAAACAAAAATTCTGTCATCGATAATAACGGAGAAATCCCAATACGTAAGTGCATACAAATAAATGCAAAAGCTTTCTAGAGGAAGAATACCCACAGCGTCCAAGTCAGGCAACAGATGTCCAGTACCTGGTGTGAGTGTCCTTCGCAGAGATCTACAACGAAGTGATCTACGACCTGTTGTCCATCGAGACCCAAAAGCATCGTACACCCTTGACACTGGCTGCAGGCAGCCAAGGGAGGGCTTTCATAAAAAATCTGAAAATGGTGTGCGTCAATTCAGGCTCTGAAGCGTACCAAGTGCTAATGGCTGGTCAGTGTAATTCAAAACTCGCTGCAATAGTCGTCAACGCTAGGAGTTCCAGATCTCACTGTATTTTCACAATGACATTGCTTAAATTTTCCAAGGAAAATCATCCGGACTCTATGGAACTTGGCAGATTTTTCTTCTGCGATTTGGCGGGTTTAGAGGGTCTGAAGAAGAGGTTAAATATTGGGGATCGTCTCAGGGCGGCTCAGAACATCAGCACAAGCCTTTTGGTTCTGAGTCGTTGCCTACAGTCCATCTACGAGGGACAACAACAATAATTTATAGGGACAACAATAACATATGAAACAACGCCAAGAGCACCTCGGACCTTCTCGCGAATCCAAACCTAGACGCTTCTTCATCATGGTTCTCATCGTCAACGTCAATCTACTTCCAAATTTTTACGAGGAGAACCAGCATGTCCTGAACATTGCGGCAATCGCAAAGAACACAATAATTCAACCGAAGAAATCAAAACTAAGAAGACCACTGACGAGATTCGCACTGGTAGTCACCCAGAGTATGAAGACAACGACAGATTGGGATGACACCAGACTGAAAATTAGCTGAGCAGTCTTCTGATGAGACAG